TTGTCAAACACTGACATTTTTTCCTGATACAATTCAACATGAAGTTTCACGGAATAAACATCAAAGCTTACACACTTTTTGTCTGAATAAGTTTTAAGAATGAAAAACTTTTTTGGGGAAAATATTGGAAAGGAAAAAAGAAAAAAAGAGAAAAAGGAATGAACTAGTTTAAACTGTTTTTTTTTTTTTTTTTTTTTTTTTTTTTTTTGAGACGAAGTTTCACTCATGTTACCCAGGCTGGAGTGCAATGGCGCGATCTTGGCTCACCGCAACCTCCGCCTCCTGGGTTCAGGCAATTCTCCTGCCTCAGCCTCCTGAGTAGCTGGGATTACAGGCACGCACCACCATGCCCAGCTAATTTTCTGTATTTTTAGTAGAGACGGGGTTTCACCATGTTGACCAGGATGGTCTCGATCTCTTGACCTCGTGATCCACCCGCCTCGGCCTCCCAAAGTGCTGGGATTACAGGCTTGAGCCACCGCGCCCGGCCAGCTAGTTTAAACCTTTTGTACTGAGTTAATTGCAAGCTGAGGCTTTTTCAAATTAAAGCTATTTCTCTTATTACAATAATTCCCACTTTAAAGTGTCTATTAGAAAATAGTTTAGACTCCTAAGCAATTTAACATTTACATCTAATAAGAGAATACTTATTGATTTCCTATGATGTTTTCAGTTTCTGTGGTAAGTACTTGATACAGTTTATCTCATTTAATTCTTATAGTAATCCTATTATGCAGTGCCTGCATTACAGAGATGATGAAATTGAAGCAGAGAGAACATAAGTATTTTGTTCAAAGTATGATAATTAATAAATACCAGAACTTGGATTCCCATTCAGGTTTGTCTGACTCCAGAGACCATGATGCAACCTTACAATGTTCAGCAATTATACACAATATGTAATTATGCAAAGCAAGCTAAAGTGACCCTTGCCTGTACTTCTAGATGGTTTATTAGAATGTTTAGAATATATTAGAATGTATAACTATTAATCCAATGAGAGTTGGTAGAGCAAATAAGAGTTTGGGTACCAAGTGTCTAGTGTCATTTGTATCATTTACTTTTTTTCTTTTTTGAGACTGAGTCTTGCTCCATCACCCAGGCTGCAATACAATAGCACCATCTTGGCTCACTGTAACCTCTGCTTCCTGGGTTCAAGTAATTCTCCCTGCCCCAGCCTACCAAGTAGCTGGGATTACAGGCACCTGCCACCATGCCCGGCTAATTTTTGTATGAGATGGGGTTTCGCCATATTGGCCAGCCTGGTCTCGAGCTCCCAATCTCAGGTGATCCACCCACCTGGGCCTCCCAAGTGCTAGGATTACAGGTATATGCCACCACGCCTGGTCTTCTATCATTTACTTAAAGCCGAAAGAACCCCAAAAATTCAATTAAAAAAAAAACAAAACTAGCTAAATGCCTAAAACTAATTTCCTAGTATTTCCAGAATGTCATGGCTTTCTAGGAAACTATGCATTTAGGTCAACTGTTTTAGATCATTACTGTGCTATTGCTATTATATTCTAATTACCATTAATTTTTGAACTATAATGTATTATAAGATCCTTGAATAAAAATAACGTTTCTAAATTTCCACATCGCACATAGTAGGTACTTAACAACTATCTCTGGTGTATGTCTGTTTCAATAAGTATAAAAGTTACCAAAATGCTTTAGTTATGCACCTATGGACTTAGGCACCAAATTTTGCTAATTTGAAAAATGGTTTTCCTTCCCTGCTCCCTGCAATCCACCACTGCATTACAATCTCTTCTTTATTCTTTGCTCCTTATAGCCTCCAATCCTATAAGATTTCTTCCATAAACAGTATCTCATTTGGTCAGCAGTGGAAAAGAATTCCAGTTATATCAATTGAATATCATAATATTCTAAACATCTCTGAAACAAAAGTATTTTTATATATCTACTTTTACCACAAGAGAATACCTTAATCTAAAACACGGACAAAGGAAACATTAATCATTTCACTTAAATTTTCTTTATACCTCTATTAGAGATTTTTTAAGAAGCAGTCTTGCTATGTTGCCCAGGCTTGTCTCTAACTCCTGAGCTCAAGCAATCCTCCCACATCAGCCTCCCAAAGTGCTGGGATTACAGGCATGAGCCACCATGCCTGGCTTCTGTTAAAGATGTTGATTGGATTTCCACTGGCAAGTCTCTTATTTTGATTTCACTATATTTCAATAAATGAGAGCTCCAATCACATCTGGTCCACATGGATTACCTGGACTCTGGATTAGGAGCTGAAAAAAGGAAGTCAGAAAATAGTCTAGTTTCTCATACTTCCTCAACATCCATTTTACAACTGAAAGCCGCAATTCTAAATAATAAAAGTTTTTTATTTTATTTTAGGCTTTAGGCTACAACATCCTTAAAGAGATGGCAATTATTTTTTCAGTTAAAAAAAAAATTATACCGCCCCACACACATCCCCACACCCACAAACCTTTTAAGATTTTTGAGGCCTTAGCAAGTACTGACCATTAGCTAGCTTTAAATTGTCAGACATGTTAATTCTCTTCTTCATTATTTTATCCCTTCAAAGTATCAAAGAAAATGTCCAATGTGACAGACAACCTGTGTTAAAAGTAAGTCTTCTATTTCATCCTCAGATATGAGCCAAACTCTATAATAGAAGTATACTTCTAGTCCTGCACAAACATCCAGCTTTTACCTACATGATCTAAAAAACCCTGAATTCAACAATGTTCATTAAACAATGTCTAGTCAGCAAGGAACAAGTAAATATAAAAATGCTTATGTTACTCATCTGACAAACATTACTGAGCATCTTCCAGGTAGTAAGCTCTGGAGATAGAAAAAAATCCATTATTTCTTGACCCTGGGGCCTCCCGGGTCACCTCCTAGTCTACAGACAGGAAAACATGCAACTATTAGTTTTATCATTATCATCATTTACTATGCTAGGTAATAAGCCCTATTATGCAAGCATGAAGAGAATACTATGAGAACACATAGGCAGGAACAACAATCCTGCCCATGTAAATTAGAAAAGGCTCTGGAGTGACACTGGAGCTAGCAGAAAAGCAGGAATTTGGCAAGTTGTGGGTGGGCTCTGAAAGAGTACTATGGGCAAAAGGAGTGGCTGAGAGTGTCTAGAGAGCTCGGGGTGTTACAAGGATGGCAGTCTGCTTTGTATCACGGGGTGGTTAGGTATGCAGAGGCTGGGCTAATTATAGGGGGGGTTTTAAAGTAAATATTCTAAAATGATATGGGAAGTTATCTTGATTCAGCTCTTTATTCACTTATTACAGGAAATGCTTCAACTCTAATAAGTTACAAATAAATGCAAATTATGCACATTTAGAAAAGATAGCTGTAGATTTATGTTCTAACTAATGAAATTATCAGGAAATGACATTTCCTGCCAAATCGGGAACAACAGATTTTTAACATTGTTTTATGTTAATTTTGATAAGGGAGAGGGCAGTTCCAGCTACATTCAATAGAAACCAAGGATATGGAATGGAAGGATTTGTGAGTACCATAACGCAATCCAAGTTGCCTTTCAACATAAGATTTAAATGTTGGGGCCGGGCGCGGTGGTTCACGCCTGTAATCCAAGCACTTTGGAGGCCAAGGTGGGCGGATAACCTTAGGTCAGGAGTTCAAGATTTAAATTTTGAATGAAAGTAGCTTAAAATTACAAATTAAACACTGATCTTCTACTCTTATTTGTTTTATGGTCTATTCAACTTGCAAATTACTTTGAAAAGTTACACTTCTTTAAAAATATATTAAATGTTACAACAAAGCAGCACTGCAGAAATACTATGATAAAAATGTTAACATTTTCTAATCTCATACCTCTACTTCTCTGTAAGTTCTTTGTAAGGTCTCAAATATGATTAGCAATATTGCCTTTGCCACGCCCACCCCTTTACATAGCTGTTCTTATCTGGAAGAGTTTCATTTTTAAACATGATCAGATGCATAATAGCTCTCAGTGCACTGCTGGAGAAATACTGTCCTCCTCCATCCAAATCCCCAGCACCAGATAGCTCTCACCACTTCTCCCCTAATTATGCATCTACAATGTAAATGTTGCCTTTCGATTTCAACTCTCCTCCCCAGCTCTCTGCCCACACAGTGTACTCCCTTCTGTTGAATTTCCCTGTGTCTTGGGAAAGAGGTGGAAGTAGTAAAGAGATGAAAACAGAAGACGCTGGACTGATGGTCTGAGGAAAGAGGGAAGGTAGGAGCAGGAAAAGGATAAAGGAAAGCATAGCTCAAGGAGAGTAAGAGAAATCTGAAAGAGGGGAAAGTCAGGAGGGACAGGTGAGGAAAGGAAGCATAGTAGAAAATGAATCAAATGTAAAATAAGTGATGAAGGTCTTCAGGAAGTCACCAAATCAGACAGGGGCGCCAGACGGGTTTCAAGAGAGCTTTGGTCTGCACATGCTTGTCTTCAGGATCATAGACTGTTTAGATTTTAAAACAGGGCATTTTGCTGCTAATAAATTCCAGGTATCAGACTTCAGTCTTGGGCCAGCACGAGAATAAAATTTCAAGTCAAAACGAAAGTATCATTTCTTTTTCTTTAGAAATAAAGAGTAGGTTATTCAGTTATAAGTTCCCCACCCCCACCCCCACCACTGTAAGCTCTTAGAAATGGTGCAATCAAAATTAGTCGTGAATATGTAACTTCAATTTTAATGAAATCTGCGGTCAGATTCATCCATGATCTTCTTTCACAGTTCCCTAATTCTAAGCTAGCTGTGACACCAAATAGAAATTCTTTGTATTCATTTTATTTTCATGGTTAGTTTAGCTACTCTAGCTTAATTATCTTGGCACCTAAAAACAGGTACAGTCTGTCAGAATGCTTCACGCCATCTTCCCTCTCTATAAAAACGAGCAAAATCCAAGAAGACCAAAAGCTTTCCACATGGACCCACAGTACAATTTTTTCCCCCTTTGAAGTTTAGATGTTTCTGGCGAGGATCCACACTACTCACAGGCACAGCTGATGTTCTCTTGGCTGCCGGCATTCAGAAAGCTGTCTGAATGGATGGCATTGAGCCTCTGCCACTCCATTGGACGCTTCCCCACGCACAGGTGCCAAGTAAACATGAGCGGAGGCAAGCGAGCAGTCTGCAGGGCACTTCAGGCCCCATCTTCTAGACTAGGGCACTCCTGAATGCCAACAGCGCAGTACAGGATGAATACATTTTTTCTTCTTCCCTTTGGTTACAGAGTCGCCTGGCCAGGATTATCCTGCAGGCACAACACTCTGCCCAAATCCAATGAAACACTTTACACTGTTCAGCAGTCCCCAGAGGGTTGAAACAATAACTACTTACAGACTTAAAACCTGCCAGTGAGCCTTCCACACAGAGCAAGGGTCACAAACGCCAAGGTTCCCACAGGCCAGACAGGCCCCCCACATGAGAGATGTAGGCAGGGTGTTAAGCAACAAGAGACGGTAATAATGACTGTGGTTATGTGGGGGGCACGTGCTTCACCCAGCCACCAAGCTACCGATAATGACTGCTGTGTAGGAAGTATGATGCTGTTATGCCAAATCTGATATTTTTGCTTTTTGAGAGAGAAATCAGAAATCTGAATTTTTGGGTAAAGTCTCCAAAATGTTAAATAACAGCAACTAATTAAATTAAAACAAAACAAAATACTGTACAGCCAAACAAAGCACGTTCTTGTGTCAGATTTTGCCTATGGCCTGTCATTTTGTAATTTCTGACACTGAGAAATTCTAAGCTTATTGGACAAAATTAATACCTTCTTTAATTGTCATAAATAGAAATGGAACAAAATTCAGATCAGTAATAGTGTATGGGACCTCAAGAATGTAGTAGCAAATATAAAAGGTGTGTGGAGACCAATTAAAATTATTTAAGGTAATATATTTAATGAGTCACATTATTTTCTGGCCCTTAAGTAAATTTATTTGTAACTTGGATGCCAATGAATTGACTTATTTTAAAACTTCTCACACTAGTTTTCTAAGCATTGAAAATACTAGAACAGTTTCTCTTCCTCACCATTCCTTCCTGGAGCTCAGCCTAAATCTGGAAGATGAACTGAAGTCCAGACTTACTGGAACTGTTTCTCAGGATGAGCACTGTTGATGCTGACTCCAGAAAATGGGGGAAAACCTTTCTGCTCTCAGGGCTGACACAAAACCTAGTTCATGACTGTTGCTAACAAAGGCTTTCCAGGATAATCTGCAGTTCCAATTAACTTTTCATATGTCTTCCCTCTGGACACATGCTAGAGAAACAGAATTACAGAATCTCACATTTACAACAAGCTTTAGACATCACTCAGTCCTACACACAATCCCGTGGTTAAATCCCCTCAAGTCCATACCTGCCCAGAAGGTCCCATCTTCCAAAGCAACCTGTGCTACTATCAGGCAACTCCAACCCTAGAAGTGTCCTTGCCTGCAATAAGAACTCATCCATTGCAGGGTCGTGTTCTGTCACCCAGGCTGACGTGCAGTGGTGCAGTCATAGCTCACTTCAGTTTCAACTTCCTGGGCTCTAGCCATCCTCCCTCTTCAGCCTCCTGAGTAACTGGAACTATAGGTGCATGCCACTACATGTGGCTAAGTTTTTTTATTTTTAGTGGAAACGAGGCCTTACTATGTTGCCAGGGTGGGTCTTGAACTTCTGGGCAGAAGCAATTCTTCCACCCTGGCTTCCCGAAGTGTGGGAATTACAGGAGGGAGCCACAACACCCACACTGCTAGTTGCTTTTATATAATGATGAGTAAGCTAGGCTACTGCCTGCCCTTCTCCCAAAGGGCTCACAGAAATAGTTTTTAAAATAAAGATCAAACTTCCAGAAGGGTACTTTGTATCAGTAAGTGCACTTAAAAGACAGGATAAAGCCAACCTATCAAAAGCCCATGATATAAAGCAACTTATGAGAAGTGAATATGGAAATTCTTAGGAAAAAAAAGGGTGAATCATGATGAAAACTCATATATAAGATCTCCTTCAAATTTAACCTAGCATCTCTTCCTAATCTGGTAAGCAGAGGCTAAAAGGAAAACAGTCACCAAGCTCATTACCCACTATAGAAGAGGAGCAGATTTACCTACCCATCACCTCCAGACTTGGAGTGCACAAAACCGGCTTCCAGTATCATCACCTATTTCCACTCAACAAACCTCTCCCTTCATGTTACCTGTATCCCTTCTTTTCCTATGCTATCTTTTAAGCCTAAATTGAGAAAAAGATATTCTATTAAAACCATCCCCATTCCTTCCCTCATCCCCAAGTTGCCCAATTAAAAGAAATTCTAGAAAAAAAATCAGCATATGGAGTGGGAGTTTAAGTTGATGTTATAGCTAACAGCTGAGAAAACTTGATCCAGTGTGAATTTGGTCATAAATTCTGCGGAAAGTTTTATTTCCCCAGCTGAGCACAAGTGAAGATTTTCTTTGTTAACATAATAAGGATTTTCTTTTTCCTTTAAAAGCACAAGTTTAAGTTCTGAGTCCTGCCTTTGGTAATTTACATAATCTTAAGCCTCATCTGAACTCAATCTCATTAACCTGTTGTGAAGATTAAATTAGATAATGCATTGAAAAAGTTCAAATATAGAGCCTCACATAGAAAATGCTCAGTAAACAGTACCTATTGTTATTAGTAATATTATTATATCTATTGGTCCTAAAACATCTTCCCAAATTCCCAAGAATTTATATTTTTGTGACTTCTAATGTACTGTAGATTCCATTTTGGGGTAGTGATTACGCCCATGAAAAATGCACTTTTGGCTGGGTGCGGTGGCTTATGCCTGTAATCCCAGCACTTTGGGAGGCCAAGGTGGGCAGATCACTTGAGGTCAGGAGTTTGAGACCAGCCTGGCCAACATGGTGAAACCCCATCTCTACTAAAAGTACCAAAATTAGCTGGATGTGGTGGTGGGTGCCTGTAATCCCAGCTACTTGGGAGGCTGAGGCACGAGAATCACTTGAACCTGGGAGGCAGAGGTTGCAGTGAGCCAAGATTATGTCACTGCACTCCAGCCTGGGCGACAAGAGTGAAACTCCATCTTAAAAAAAAAGAAAAAAAGAAAAAGAAAAATACACTTTTATCTTCTCCATTATTCATACAAACATGTTAATTGCAGAACACTGGCAAAGTAGAAAGAAGGGGGGTGATCATCCATTCAGAGAACACATATGTTAACATGGTATAATTACTTTCTGTGTTTTTAAAAATTTATTTATTTTTTGTAGAGATGGGGTCGCACTATGTTGCCCAGCCAGGTCTTGAACTCCTGGCTTTAAGTGACCCTCCTGCATCAGCCTAACAAACTACTAGATTTAGGTGTGAGCTACTGCACCCAGCCCACTGTGTTTAGTTTTTTTAATGTAAACAAGTTTTTAAATTAATAAATAACCTTTTACTGCTATAAAAGTAGACATGCATTGTAAAAAGTTAGAAAATATAATCAAAATATGCTTGATTTTCTATTACCAAGATATTAATACAGACACCATTTTGTAAACCTTTTTTAAATAAATTTGCCTGTTACATATCTTTTCAAATATTTTTCTAATATGCAAAGCTCTAGGTTACATTCATTTTGATTTTCCAAAAACCAACGATGTATTCATACACTGTCTTTGGTATGGAAGGTACGACTCCGTTGTTCTTTATAGGTAAAGCTTCCTGAGCATCAATTCCCACTGTCACTGGTCGCCTCCCAAAGGCCAGGCTCTTTATTAGGTTACCTTGAATCCTTATAACAGTCCCAAAGCATACATTCCGACATGCCTATTTTGCAGATGAGAAAAGAAAGATTCAAAAAGGTTCCCTGATTAGTCCAAGGCCACAAAACGTTAAGTGACAGAGCCAGGTTTCAATGCATCTTTGGCTCTAAAGCTCGATTTTTTTTCCCGTATAAGCCTCAGTTAAGCAAGATTACAGATTCTGTATCTGAAAACAATTAGGCAAGCTCAATGGATCCAGATCCTTAATTTGGGAACAAAGTAGTATGATTCTCATTTTACAAAAGGACAAAAATGACTCAATATTACATAATGAACCGGGAACTGGGCCTCAAATACAGTTAAGTTGAATGAGGACACTATCATTTTAATACAGCTAGCCCTCTGCTTTGAAATGTTAAAATTTAGACTTCGCTGGAGTTTTAGATAAAATAAACACGCTGTCAAGCCATCCACAAGTAACCACTGGTGAGCTGTTCATAGGCTATAATTCGAAGAAGAAAACCCATGATGTAACTAGGGAGTTATATAGGACTCAAGCATGATGCTTTCTCTGGAGTTTATAATGTCCTGCTTCTCAGGTTACTGGAAAGGGTCAACTGACAATACTAGATGAGATTCCCAGCTCTGTCACTAAATTCTTCAGTGACCTTGGGCTAGTTACTAATCATCTCTAGGGCTCAAGTGACTTCATCCTTAAAACAGGTATAATAAGTAGTCACCCTCGTGGACTCGTAACACTGCTGCTTAAAGGATGAGAGGATGAATGACAAAAGGCTTCGAAAACTTAAATTTCTCATTCAAATGTAAGGTATCTCATAATAGTAATAACAACTATAATAATATATTGCTATAGCTAAATGTGAGCCAGTGCGTACTATGTCAGACACAATTCTATTTTTTAAGAATTAACTTACTTAAATCTACACCAATCCTATTAGGTAAGTACTATTATTATCATCTCAATTTTACAGATGAGGACTGAGGCAAAAAGAGACTAAGAACTTGCTCACAGCCGCCTGGCTGGCAGGTGAAGCTGGGTGCTGAAGGCGGGTTCCTAGACTCCTTTACTTCCTCTTTTCTCACTTCCCTCGGGGAAAAAATTCACAACAAAATACATTCTGTTCTCTCAGCAACTTCTGCTGTTTCCAATATAAAATTTTCTTAATAAAAAATCCTACTCTGACAACCTGTTGATTTAAAAAAATGATTTTGTGTATTTCAGCAATGTTCTATTTAGGCATACTCGGTGATTTAATTAAGAAAAATTTCAAAGAGTTCATGAATCTCTGAAATACTGAATGCTACTGTCTCCTTGTATTTTTAAATATTTTTTTGATTTCTAAAATATGGGGGCTAAAAAAGTTGATCTCCTACAAGTAATAGTGGTCATCAGAGGTTGGGGAGAGTAGGGAGGATGGGTGATACAGAGAGGTTGGTTAATGGGTACAAAATTACAATTAGATTGGAGGAGTAAGTTCTAGTGTTCTGTAGCTCAGCAGGTTAACAATATGTTACAACTATAGTTAACAATACTTTATTGTGTATTTTAAAATAGCTAGAAGAGAGAATTCTAAATGTTCCCAACATAAAGAAATGATAAACGTTTGAGGTAATAGATATGTCCATTACTCTGATTTTATCATTCTACACTGTACACACATATCAAAATATCTCATGTGCAATTATGTGTCAATTAAAAACATTAAAAAATGAACACCACTATTTTAACAGAGGTTCTCATTAAAACTTTTCCCCAGTGGTCCTGAAAAATTATACCTTGCTCTTAAAAGATGACACTGTCTTAAAATTTCAGTTCTGAGAAAAACTTAAGAAGAAAAATATGCCATGGAGATAAAATTCTAAAGTAGATAATGCTCATATTTAGAAGAAGCTCATTAATCTACTAAACAACACACTGTCTATTGATTCTTCTTTCATAACTGGTGGTTCCTGTGGAGTTATGCACTACGGCTGTTGGAGAACATATTCATTCCATGCATTTTTATTTTCTCTCCAAGGCATCATACCCAGATGATATGCCCAAACTAGAGACATATACCCTTAGAAAATAAGCAGACAAAAATAGCATATAAGCTCTAAGTGTAATATACATACATACGGCCACATATGTAAATTTTCTAGAAGCTACATTAAAACAAGCAAAAGAAACAGGTAACAATAATTTTAATATTTTAATTCAACATATCAAAATGCTATAATTTCAATATGTACTCAATACAAAATATTAATAATTTTATGCTTTTATGATTTCTTATACTAAGTCTTCAAAATCTGATGTTCATTTTACCCTGAGAGCACAATTCAACTTGGATTAGCCACCTTTCAAACCCTGAATAGCCACAAATGGCCAGTAGCTGCCATATTGGACAATGCAGTTCTATAGAGTAGCTGTAAGGGTGTAAAGAGAATTAGAAAATCAGGATGTTTTGGCTGGGTGTAGTGGCTCATGCCTGTAATCCCAGCACTTTGGGAGGCCAAGGCAGGTGGATCAGCTGAGGTCAGGAGTTTGAGACCAGCCTGTCGAATGTGGTGAACCATCATCGCTACTAAAAATACAAAAATTGGCCTAGCACGGTGGCAGGTGACTATAATCCCAGCTACTCAGGAGGCTGAGGCAGGAGAATTCCTTGAAACCAGGAGGCAGAGGTTGCAGTGAGCCAAGACTGCACCACTACATTCCAGCCTGGGTGG